TTGGTCAATGACATGAGACAAAGTATATGTGAACTGCTGTATGAAAAGTGAATTTACTCTGTAAATCTTCACCCAAATCCTAATAAAAATATATAGATAGATAGATAGATAGATAGATAGATAGATAGATAGATAGATAAGGAAGTTGAATGGAAGTATATCATTTCTATACAATGTACTTGAATAACTTCTACCTTTGAGAGCACTTTGTTAATATAGTCCTGTGTTTGACATTAAGATGTGTTATTCACAATCTAATGATATGCATTCTTCAGATGTTTTTAATGAAAGAACAAGTGTTTCAAATACTTTTCCACCAGGAGGTATTGCGTATAGTGGTGAAAACAGACTTGGAATGACAGGATTTATGTTTGGAGGGTAGCTTTGATTGATGTTACATGAAGGTCAGAAACATTTAACTTCTCCAATAATTAGTTTTTTTCATACATAAAATATCTAACTAGCAATAATTCCACACAGAATTATCTTAAGAACTACATAAGACAATATATGTGAAAAATTTTGTAAACTAACTCCTATGGAAATATTATTACCATCCTATGAGAATTCAATGTTTATTTTACTCTGTATTTCATTTTTAATTTTCTCTTTAGTGAAAAATGTATTTTAAAAATTATGAAAACTGCCACTTAATGTTTATTAAGTCCCAGAATGTAAATTGAACCTAATAAGGGCACCTTTAATTTATTATTCCTGTTGAGGAGTAACCTGTATCTCTTACTCCCTTGTGTTTACTTTATATTTGAGCTTCTCTCTCTCTTTCTCTTAAGAGTAAAGAAGAGAAAGTGAGGAAAACAGGAAGAGAAACCATAAAATTTCATTCTCTTCTCCTATATGAAATTCTTAAACCTAATATTTGAATAAATTATGAGCTCATTAGATTATTAACTTTGTAAGTATTTGGAAAGCCTGTAATCTGCAAGACTTTCCAAGTATTTGAGTGCTTTCAATGAATTGCTCTTATGTATATTAGTATTTTTCCAATAGAATGAAATTATCAAGGGGTTTATGCTAACATATTTTAAATAAATATAAATAGATACAATCCATCTGTGAAATTTTTATACTCATATTTATATAATGACTAAAATATACTAGGAAAATATATATCCACTAAATTTAGTAAATTTGGAAATATGAACATTAAATTACTCAGCAAAAATAACTTTATTTATTTTATAAAATATGATAAACTACCAGGTATTTACATTTTTGTGTTTGTGTTGATGTGTATACATTTTTATGTATACATTTTTATGATGTATACATTTTATGTATTTTTATGTACATATTTATGTATACATTTTTTAATTTTTATGTAATTTAATCCATAATCTGTGAGCTTTTCAATTATAAATCTTTGGAGTCTGTGGCTGAAAACTTAGAGACACATTAGATAAATGTGAAGACTGGCATTTTACAAGTCTGAATCCTTGGTGTATAAAAATTTGTGTAGAAAGAAAAGTCCATGTTCCTAGAAAACTGAGATAAACAGAACTATTCCTGTATACACAAATTCATGAACAACTAAATGTAAATTTCTTTTTTATCCCTCACAGGTTAGTTGCAAAGTGTTCCAGTTCATTCATCTTTACCTCATCGGTTGTAATTACTTTTGGATGCTCTGTGAAGGCATTCACCTCCACACACTCATCGTGGTGGCGGTATTCACAGAGAAGCAGCACCTGATGTGGTATTATTTTCTTGGCTGGGGTAAGTGCCACACATCTGCTGCTTTACCTGATTGAGAGTTTTTCAAAAGAATGCAAGATGCCTTTGTAATAAAAATAGGATTATTATTATTATTAAAGACAATTAGGTATATAATTTTTGCTTATTACTGTAAACTGAGATATTTAAAGTGGATTAATATTCACAAATGTATCCAATGTTTTCAGTCATTGCAGGTCAATCAGTAATGTGATGCCTTTTTTCTATTTACTATTCCAATGAATTAATGAATGTTGGCTGAATATGTAGTAACTGAAACAGCGAAATTGAAATCATGAATAAGTGATCTAGTCTGCTTCACTCTAAATTCCTCATATGTAACATAAGGGTATTGGGCTTAACCAGAAAAAAAAAGAGACATTTAAACAGCAATAATAAAACAAGTTAGTTTTTTAAAAAATTTGTTTTCAAAATTAATTGTGCCTTTCATGCTAAGAATAGAGGGGTAAATAAATGAATAAAGGAACACAAAAGATATTTTTCCATACAATCTGCTTGACATGGTATTGTTCATAAAGCAAACAGACATACACTTCTAGCATTAGATTAAAAAAATAATAATGCAAAATATAAAATGTAGAAAATGAATTCAATATGAGTAATTTCCAGAAAAATAACAGAAATTATATTTCTCTCTATCTAGAGATAGAGAGCTCCTGCCCTATCTCTGATTTTCATGTTTCATGAAATACTTTAGAGTTCCATCTTTAGGGAAATTTACCTGTTTGTTTTCTTTTTCATCAATATTTACAGGATTTCCACTGGTTCCTGCTTGTATACATGCTGTTGCCAGAAGTTTATATTACAATGACAAGTAAGATAATCTCTCTTTACAATTTCTATTGAAACTAAGTAAAATGAAGTCTTTCACACAATTTCCCTGTGTTTTCCCCTAGTTGCTGGATCAGTTCTGATACCCATCTCCTTTATATTATCCACGGTCCAATTTGTGCTGCTTTACTGGTATGTAATTACAATTCTCTAAGAGCATTGGACATCAGACTGTAATTACAGCCTCTAGCTAATACTAACTATGTATAAAAAGATGAAAGTATTACATTTCATGTTTCTTAGCTAAAATTCAAGGCTTCCAAACTCTCCCTCCCTCCTTCTCTCTCTCTCTCTATGTATATGTATATGTATATGTATAT